TACGCTCAAGTAGCAAAGGCTCATGGGACATTTCATAAATTGATAAAATATGAGTTTTTATGGCCTTATAAAGTGTGCAAACCTACATGCGGGGTTAAATCTGATCTAAATATTTCTTGTTGTCGTTTCATGTTTCATCCTAATAAATCAAAGATATGTCAGCACCATGACTGAAAACTACCTTCACTACAGCCCTTTTATATAGTCATTTGACCAATGAAATACTGTGTTTCTACTTATAGGGTAACAGGTTACAATCTTGTAACTTTGGCAACTGTTGGTGGGCCAAATCAAATGACTTGGCGGGCCAAATTTGGCCCGCGGGCCCCACTTTGGGCTCCTCTGTTGTAGACCATTAAGGAATACATTATGCCAGTATATTTACTTTTAATACTCTAAGTATTTTTAAAAGCAAGTACTTACTTTTACTCAAGTAAACTGTTAATGTGGTACTTTTTACTAGAGTACATTTTTATGTGTACTTTTACATAAGCACAGTGTTTGAGTACTTTCTCCACCACTTGGTATCAACAGATCACAGTTAGTCTGGATCATCAAGTGACATCAAACCAGCTGTTGGGTTCAGAGTCGGTTCATGGCTTTAGGTGAAAATCATCAACCAGGAGCCTCACGTCTTGATATTTGGGCTCAGAGGCTGGCTACCGTCTTCCTCAGCAACATTCTGAGGAGGATCTTCTCCGTGACCTGCTCAGGGTAAACCCTGTCTTCAGTCAGCAATGAGATTCAGAGAGTTTGTAACAGCTGAGCTGCTGAGAGGAGCGTAGTGAGGACGGAGCATCGTTCACCAACACAGATGGATCTGAGGACACAAACCTTCTGATCTAGCCTGGTTAAAACCAGACCCTGTCCTTCACTTTGCTTCGTACAAGGAACATAAAATAAAAGTTTTATCCAATCATTGGACATTGAAGAGTACAGAGCCAAGTCAGTCCTGGTGGATAGAAACAATCATGGACTCAACAAGAAGTCAAAGAAATCATGAGTGGTCAACATGTCCTGTCTTTCAGATGACTTGATTTATGAAGTACAGAGCAGTAAACGCTCTTGTGCTCGGGTGCTCTAGTGATAGAGAGACCACCTTTAGTGCAGTGGGCCACAGTTAAATCCCAGCTTCACAGCTCTCTGGACTCACAGACGACACAGACATGTTACTGTCTGCCTTCGCAATGTTAACAATGTTCAGCTGGAATCATGAAGCAACAACAACCTAGCTTCTCTCCCTGACGTCCAGCTCTGAAACTATAACTCGTTTATTCAGACGTAAAAAGAAACTTCCTTCTTAAACCAACATTCAGTTAATAACGTGACAATCTCATGCTCAGATACATGTTTAACACTTGTTTATCAAATATGATTATAAAACATTTGAAATACTTACAAAACAACAAACACTTTTTTCAGTTTAAAGGGCTCTCATAATTATGAAATTAAAAAACATCCTCATCCACCTCCTGGATTGAGGTGCTGGTTGGCGGCGCCATCTAGTGGCAAACTTTAGAACTGAGTCCAGCTGCAGCTCATGTTTCAGCACCAGGATCTGTTTAATGATCCAAACCACACAGAGTCTGAACACAACTGGTTTCCTTTTTAACTTGAGGTTCTGGTTCGGTTCTCAAACTGGACCTGTGATGTCCTGAAGTCCACCTAAAACAATCAGAACAATTCAGCAGCTCTTTTATTAGCTGATAAAACTCTCCTGACAAGATAACAATGAAGGAACAGAAGAATTTATTTATTTATCATTGTTTAACCAGGAAAATCCCATTGAAACCACAGATCTCTTTTTCAACGAAGGCCTGGAGGCAACCTAGTTTTTGTGTTGTGAGGGAAACCGGAGTACCTGGAGAAAACACACGCAAGCACAAGAAGAACATGCAAACTCCACACAGAAAGACCCCAGGTCCAAACCAGGGATCGAACCCAGGACCTTCTTGCTGTGAGGCATCAGTGCTAACCACTGATCCATCATGCTTCCCTATAAGAACATGTTGACATGAAGAGAATCCATCAGAGTCTGGGTCCAGACTTCATTTTAAATGTTACGGTCAGCAGAAACCTTCAATCTGATTCAGTTTGAAGAGCTGGAGTCAGATTTTTCTTTCTTCTCTCCTTGAAGCTCCAGCTGAAGCTTTCAAGCTTGACGTTCCAGGAACTAGTCCTCACCAATCCTCTCATGTTCTTGTTCTCATGCAGAGAGACTGTCCCGGCCTCAATCACAGATTCAGGTCCACCCTGGTCTCAAACTGTAGGTCTGTCCCATCCTCAGCCTCACCAGGTCCCCTCTCAGACCAGTGGTTCCGGTTCTGAAACAACAGAACCAGGACTCATGTAGTCCCGGTTCTGGCTCATGTAGAATCAGGAGCTCAGCAGGTGTTTCAGGAGGATTCCAGTGAGTTTGGGTTCAGAGCTAAGCCATCAACAGCACATGTACTGATTTAATTTACTACTAACTCTGAACAAAGACAGTACTCTAGTATTAGAGCTGAAGAAAGTATCAGACTCCAGAAATCACAACACTTTAATAATAATCTTGAACGTTACGACATCATGGGCACAATGTGTTGAGTGAAGTTATCTCTGTGACAGGAAGCTGTTTGTGAAGATGATTGGAAATGACTTGTGGCGTCCCCCAGGGGTGAGTGTTGAGTCCTAAGTTGTTTTTATTAGGTGATAACTTGTAATTGTTACATACTTAATAGATAAATTGATTGTTTTTGGTCAGTTTGAAATAACTAGTGTGATTTTATTAGTTTTAGTATGTTTTGGAAAAGTTCTTCATTTCTTTTCATTTATCTTTCATTTTGTTATCTTGTTAAATCTTTTTGATTATTTTTCATACGTTTGAAATAAAGTAACTAACATTTCTACCACAGAAACACCAGAACCACCAGCTTGACCCAATTTACACCATCGAGACCAGAATCAGTGAAGAGTCAGGTGGACCAGCGGGATGCTGTCAGAACCTCACAGAACATCAACAGAACCAGTAACACTGACAGTTCTGTTGAAGTTAATTAAACAAACAGGAGTTTTATTGTGAAAGAACTGATTTCTTGTTAAACTGTTCAAGCACTCACTGCTTCTGATTCTTGATGTTTGTAGAAACCCGCCCTGATGAAGGTCCAAACGATGATGAAGCAAATGATCTGGAGGGTTTTAGTTGCTGTCCACTGTCCTGCCTGGTCCTCTGTCCAACAGAAGAGACAAAGAGACTTACAATAAAGCGGAGCAGAAAAAAGTCTACCGTCAGACCAGCTTTAAGTTTCAGGTGGACGCTTAGAATGGATTTAGACCCATTTGTTACTCATCCAACTAAAATTTGATTGACAGGTTAGCTCATTATGTCAAGGTGGAGTTTTTTTTCCACAGCAACTGTCTTTAGCCCAGAATGTACTCACCTGTTGGTGAATGTTGTCGCCTGGTCCTCATCTGATACTTGTCCGGTCTTTGTTTAGTCCTCATCTGGTCCTCGTTTAGTCCTCATCCAGTCGTTGTTTGGTCTTTGTCCGGTCCTCGTTTAGTCCTCATTTGGTCCTTGTCTGGTCCTCGTTTGGTCCTTGTCCAGTCCTCGTCCAGTCATTGTCTGGTCTTTGTCCGGTCCTCATTTAGTCCTCGTCTGGTCCTTGTCCGGTCCTCGTTTAGTCCTCATCCAGTCGTCGTCTGGTCTTCGTCTGGTCCTTGTTTAGTCATCATCTGATCCTCGTTTGGTCCTTGTCTGGTCCTCGTCCAGTCATTGCCTGGTCTTTGTCCAGTCCTCGTTTTGTCCTCGTCCGGTCCTCATTTGGTCCTCGTTTAGTCCTCGTCCAGTCGTCGTCTGGACTTTGTCCGGTCCTCATTTAGTCCTCATTTGGTCCTTGTCTGGTCCTTGTTTGGTCCTTGTCCAGTCCTCGTTTAGTCCTCTTCCAGTCGTTGTTTGGTCTTTGTCAGGTCCTCATTTAGTCCTCGTCTGGTCCACGTTTGGTNAGTCCTCTTCCAGTCGTTGTTTGGTCTTTGTCAGGTCCTCATTTAGTCCTCGTCTGGTCCACGTTTGGTCCTTGTCCAGTCCTCGTTTAGTCCTCGTCCAGTCGTCTGGTCTTTGTCCAGTCCTCATTTAGTCCTTGTCTAGTTCTCGTTTGGTCCGTGTCCAGTCCTCGTTTAGTCCTCGTCCAGTCGTCTGGTATTGGTCCGGTCCTCATTTAGTCCTTGTCTAGTCCTCGTTTGGTCCTTGTCCGGTCATAGTCTGGACTTTGTCATTCCTCTTTTAGTCCTTGTCTGGTCCTCGTTTGGTCCTTGTCCAGTCGTCGTCTGGTCTTTGTCAGTCCTCATTTAGTCTTCGTCCAGTCGTCTGGTCTTTGTCAGTCCTCATTTAGCCCTTGTCTAGTCCTCGTTTGGTCTTTGTCAGTCCTCATTTAGTCCTTGTCCAGTCCTCATTTAGTCCTCGTTTGGTCCTTGTCCGGTCGTCTGGTCTTTGTACGGTCCTCTTTTGGTCCTCGTTTTGTCCTTGTCTGGTCCTTGTTTGGTCCTCATTTGGTCCTTGTTCAGTTCTCGTCTGGTCCCAACATCAGCAGCCACAAACATGCATCTAAAGAGACAGAAAACCTGTCAGGTTTCAAAACGTGATTTTGTGACTTCAAACTGATAGATCACACAGACCCTCTGGCTTCAGCCCAGGTGGTCTGGAGTGTGATCAGATCAGACAGAATAAATAAGATGATTTATCTTAAAATGTTATTTTTGTTTCCATGTTCCAGGAGAGGTGAGCGTGGTGAGACCGGGACAGGATAAAGACCGGGCTGACTTCTGGCAGGAGGACTTACTGGCATGGTTCCATCAGGAGTTGTTCTCATCAGGCTGAGAGGCGTCTGAGGATCCAACCGCTGGACCAGGAGGAAACACCATGATGAGCAAAAGGAGATCTGCAGATGGGTACAGGAAAGCATGAGCAGCACAAATCACATTCTTCAAGAGAAAGTCAGTAGAAATATTCCAAAGGCAGGACCACTCACCTTGTCAGGACAAACGGACCTGCTAGGATTTCTTCTTCAGCTCAGCCTTTTAGACCCGGGTGGAAACATCAGCTGAGCCGGAGCTGACAGCATTTTGTAGCAGGTTTCAGCCACACACACAGCATTTTTACAGAACACTTTAAGATGTACTGTGAATGCCAAAGTTAACTGTTAAAAATCAACTGAAACAAAATGGTTGACCTTTGTAGGAAGGTTAGTTGTTTGAAAACCGATGGAACAAGCAGAACTCAGAGGAAAAACACATTTTTATTTAAAAAAAGGGCACCGGCGTGGAGGCTTCAAAAAGACAGGAGGAAGAGCACAGAACACACACACACACACACGTTGCTTTTTCCATCCTCGCGAGGACTTTGCATTGACCATTACTTCTCCAGGCATTTCTAGAGCCTAATCCTTACTCTTACCACTCTTCAGCTATGTGTTTTTTAAATTGCTTATCTGCAAAAATATGCAATAATTTCTGGTTTGATGGTGAGACGCATCATTACAGTGAGAGTAAAGATTTAGCTTAACTTGAAGCAATTGTTTAAGCTTTTCTTCGCAAGTTTCACATTCAAATGATACAAAATGATAATTCATGTTTTTTTCATATAATTTATTTCATTTTGAAACAAAATTTTATGAAGAAAAAAGTTGTATTAAAGCAACAAAAAAGTGACAGCAATATAAAGAGATTTAGTTTATATTGGAGCCTGTTTTATATAAATCACTGCTTGTAGGTAAGAGCAGCATTAATAAAGACTCATATGTTGTAAAAGCCTAAAACATGTCTCCCTCTCTGGATGAAAGGTCCATCAGTTGGTGAAAAATCTCCAAAGCAGAGCAGCACCTGGCAGATGATGCAGCTCCTCTGTTCAGATCAAGACCTCTTCATAATGATGGGATTAAAGGGTCTTGACCCAGAATAACTTGGCATGATGTGTTGAATTCATCTAGAATCATGTTAGAGTTTTTATATCAGATCATCATCAAGCATCCAGGTGCTTATTAATCCGCCGTACTTTCTCCTTTTTGTTCCTGTTGCTGTGTTTCTTCCAGGGCTTCCCCACCACCGCCTCTGGTTCTGAGTTCCCAGGTCCAACAGGTCCACTGCCCGGTTTGTAGCCCATGATGGATTTCACCCCTTTGGTGAGCGCTCGCACGTTCTCCTGTAAAAGCCACAGTTGGTGTTTGATTTCACGATAATCAAACCGATTAGAGGGGTCAGCGAGTGTCCTTTACCTGATGGAAGAAGTTCTTGTCGACAACATTTTCAATTCTTTTGATTTTGGGTTGTTTGTGTGTTGATGCAGACGGGTCGCAGCTGTCCGGCTCTCTCGTCTGGAACTCGCCGTGCTGCGGCTGGAAGTCTTCAGGGTTGATGTGTGGGGGAGGATGGCAGTACAGAAGCTTCCCCTGTGAGGAGTAAACAATGTCAGGGATGGGGTGTGTTCGGTAAACTTACAGTCCCAGAGGGGGAAAACACGTCGAGCTCGGAGATAGTGTCTTCAGATTTACACAAAATATCCACAGTATTCCTGAGAAGCTTGTGTAGGCTGCCATGACAGTCACTAGCCCCGCCCACAGCCCTCCCCTCTGTTCGCTTTTTCTGGTGCGCAAGAAATTCATTCATTCAGATAGTTATGATAACAAATATAGTTTGTTTTTGCTTTAAGTGGCAGCTTGAGCAGTTCAATCATGAGTTCGTGTTCATCTTGTGTATTTGTCGGCTGCCATAACAAGTGAAGAAAACTGAGAAACGCTTTAGAAACATTTTGGCTGGAACAAGTAGTAGTAAAGGCATAGTGTCCTACAAACTGCACTTTATGCCGACGAAGGAGGATCATAAACTAATATGGCTGCAGCTTTAAATCTGAAAAATCCACCAAGGAGCGTTTGCTTGCTTTTTACATTTTATTGACAAAAATCCCACGGATATTCACTCCGATCCAGAGCTCTATCTGGGCTAAGGCTGGCTACTGAAGGCATTTCATTCAAACCACTGAGTCAGACAGCTTCCAGCAATATCAACTAAAACCCTGAATCTGTACCTGGAGAGTTAAACTGTAAATGTAGTTGGTCACTGTTTCGCTATTTAATAGTGCAGTTCTTTGATTTTACTGAATGAAAGCCTACGGTGATTGACGTTAGCATCAGCGCTAACTACTGTTAGCATGGTTTTTTAGCATGTTATTTGCAGCTAAACTTAAATTTAAAGAAATATTTGCCTATGTTAGTAGCTGCATGCTGGCAAAACCATATAAATGGCTTAATTTAACTGTCTCTTTTCTGAGTAAGCTCAGAATAATAAACAATCCTCTTCTCAAATACGTGCTAAAATACAGTGGTTTGCAAAAGTATTCATACCCCTTGAACTTTTCCATATTTTGTCACATTACAACCACAAACATAAATATATTTCAC